CCTGGAGCTAAGAATCGTTTTCACACGTGGTGGTGGTGGTGGCGAAGAGACTGAAGCCTTATGTGGTCCTCAAAGTCTAATATATTTATTATCTGGCCTTTTGTAGCAAGGTTTGCCTGCCCTTGCCTAGAGGACTTAATAACAGGTTGCTCGGTTTTTTGTGTCTTTTTTTTTTTTCAAAATACATTTTCAAGGCTTTTACATGAAAGGTATTGTTAGTATTTTAACCAGTTAAGATAACCCAGTGGAAACTTTTCAAAATATCCCTATGGGACAGGGTTACTGTCTAAACTTGTGTAACTAGTTTGTAACATAGTATCAGAGGAATGTTTAATGTAAAAGCAGGCAAATTCAAGGACATTTCCTGTTATAGACTGAATGTTTGTGTCCCCCCAAAATTCATATGTTGAAATCCTAAGCCCAGTGTGATGGTATGAGGAAGTATTAGGTGATTAGAAGCCTTCTCTGACCGCAACTCCTTCGTGGTCATAACACACTGTCATAGCACTTCCGGCATTTATAACTTTCCAGACAAAGCCTGTGCAGCCCATAAGACTAAACTCCTCAAAAACAGACATCACATCTCCAGCATATGGTAGGTTCTCAAAAAATATTTATTTCCTAATGTTAGTAGAAATAATAGCTATCACATATTGAGTGCATTCTCTGTGCCAGGCACTGTGCTAACGGCTTTACACAGCAATCCATGAGATCTGAACAAAAGCCTAAGGGCAAGTAACATTTAGTGAACACTTACCATATATCAACACTATGCTAAGAGAAACACTATCTCATTTAATCCTATGAACAACCCTATAAAATGCATACTGTTATTCCCATGAACACCTCAGGAAACTGAGACTTGAAGAGGTTAAGTGGTGGAGTTGGGAAAAGAATCTGGGTCTTTCTCACTCAAAAATATGAGATTTTAACAATTATGGGCACAACCTCCTCAACTAGGTTCTATTTTCTCAATCTCTACCCATTTCATACAATCCTGACTCAGCTCCTAACATGTTCAAGATTAGCTTGTTTCACAAAGCAAAAAAAAAAAAAAAAAAGAAAGAGTCTTCGCTTCCCTTTGAATGGCACAATAATCTTATTTTGTTCTCTTTTGGGACCCAAAGACTCACCTTTGCCATCACCACCTATGAACTTCTTGTCTTTGACTCTAAGTTTTCTCCTTTAAATAGACGCTGAGAACATGAGTGGTAGTTTTAATGGAGAAGGGGAGCAACTCATACACTAATTCATAAATTCTTTCTCTGGAAAGGCTACACTATTCAGGTATAAGAAGAGAAACAGGTCAAATATCAAGTAGAAGGAAACACATAATTAGATGGCTGGATGATATATGGAGCAAGAGATGAAATGTCAGAGCCAAAGTCACATCACATCAAGCCTACAGGGTCTAGAGCAACATTTCTTAACCAGTTTCCTTTTCCATGAAATAGAGATAACAAACGCACCCACTTCATAGGATCATTGTCAAGATTGAACAAGTTAATACATGTCAAGCAACCAGAACCCACATGGCCATCAGTATGCACTGAATAAATCTCAGCTATATGATTATTATAGTTGGGGTCATAGAGTTCTGAAAAGCTAACGAAAGCTACAGATCCCTGAATCCATATTTCTGATGTCGAGGCAAACTCCAGGTCGTGGAGAAAAAAAAGTCAGTGAAGGTCCCAAATGATGCTAACACCCAGAAAAGAAAAAGGAGTGGCCTAAGTAGGTGGAAGTCTCAAAAACAAAACATGAAGATGTGGTTACAGAATGAGGAACTAACACAGAACAGGAGCAGGCAACATTCATGTCGCAATGAACACAGGAAACAATTTTATTAAATTTTCCAAATGTAAAATAAATTTGTATTAACCTGTTGCTAACAGTAACTATGTTCAACAAAAACTTAGAGTATTATATTAGCTTCAAAGTCAGCAAGTGATATCGGCAGAAAAGGCAGTGATGAAACAATGAGGTACCAGAAGGAAAAAAGGCAGCATGACTTGGAGAAGTGTCCGTAAACCTAACCGGAGGTTTGCAGACATTTGTTCTCACTTCTCCAATCTCCGGAGAAGACTCCGGAGTCGGAGTCCCCACCCTTGGAGGGATGGTCACTGGTCGCTGTCGCACTGCCCAAGCTTTCCCTTCTGCTAGGGAACCCACATCACTCACAACTCCTTCGGAAAGTGAAGAACAAAAGAGAGGCGAAGGGGACAGGTTGAAGGAAGGAAGCTAAGACTGAGTACCTACAATACAGCAAGCACCTGGACCTATCATATACATCTGAACTTCATTAGCGGGAAAAGACTTGGGAGAAGGGAATTGACAGGGATAAAGGGATGTGAAAGAAAAGGGGCTCGGAGGTGAGAGGGAGATTAGGAGAGCTGGAGGACTGGAGACGGCATGGGATCAGAAAGAGATCACAGCAAGGGCAGCACGGAACCAGGGTTAGAGAGGAGGACAGAAAGTGGGAGAGGGGGCGGAAGCGAGAACACCCAACGCCGGCGGGAGGCGGCAAGCGCTGGGCGAGACCGACGGTGTCACCCGCTTACCTTGCTACGCCCCCCGGAGGCGACGCGCTGCTGTGAGCTGGGGGCCGGGAAAGACTGGGAAGGGACGTTCAGCATCCTGGACCCCTGGCCCGGGCCCTGCCCGGGGTCCACTGCTGGACGGGATCGCTCGGCTCGACCCCCTCAGGTAACACCTCCCCCGCCGGCTCCCAGGCCCGGCAGAGGCCTAGCCCCCCACCCACTTCCGGGGTCGCCGGGGGTGAGGCGCGCCATGACGCAGCACGTCCAGGCCGTGGAGGGCGGAGCCAACGGGACTGACGGAGCGCCGGCTGGGGTGGAAATAGGAGAAATTGCGCATGCTCCGTTAGTCCTGCACCCTGAACTTCAGCACCGCAAGGAGGTGACAGCTATTCCGTGGAAATATCAGAGAGTGATGCTGTTCCTTATCCTTGGTGCTGATCAAATCTGAGAACAAATTCTTGTAGAGTCCTGTTAACCCAGAACACAAGTGTCTATCCATTGTTAAGCACTAACATCACACTACTTAAAATATGGAATAAAATAACACTATTAAAGCATTTTTATCTCTCTGAAACTCTCTCCACTAAGGCACCAAGCTGTACAGGAAAGTAAACTTTTAAGAGCTAAGGTGTCAAATGCAAACAGCCACTCCTGTGGGGTGAAGAGAAAACTTTACCTTTAAGAACCTTCGCTAATGACTGACTAATGAGTCAAAGACTTTAGTAACAAGTCTCCTTCTGCTTCACTCACCCACTCACAAGTTCTTCCTCCTCATCTAACTCCCTGTCTTCCCCGAAAGATACAGGGAATTGTATACCGATGCATCACCCCCAATTGTAGTGTTGAACGCTTAAGAGTCAGAGTTTAGTTTGGATGCGATCCCTGCTCTTAATAAATAAGCAGACTTATGCAAGTTACTTTAGTATCTCGAAGCCTCATTTTCTCCATCTACAAAATGGGTTTAGGTTTTAGTAAGGATTAAATGAGATGTCATATGTAAACTATATAGTACAGTGCCTGGTTAATAGTAGGCGCTCAATAAATGGCTCTTCATACTATTCTAACATATTAATGAGAGCAGCACAAATACTGTGCAGATAAACATCAGTTCCTAATGCTCAAGGTCAGGATTGGTGACCTGGAGGGGTTTTTGGGGAATACACACATCCTGAGAGTAGAATCCAGTGAAGGGAGCAAGTTTTCAGAAGTATAGCTCTAAATAATTCTCCCCATCCCTTCCCTTATTAACTTTTCCTGACTCTGAAAGATAGATTGCACCTGCTCTATTTCACTTGCCTTGACCTTAAAGTGCCTGTAAATCAATGTTTGTAGTACATTTCCAATTAGAAGGCAAAATGTGTGAATATACGTAGCCATTCAAGTAAAAGGCATTTCTTAGCTAGGTAAGAATCTCTGAACTTCACCCCGCCCCATTATCATTCTGGAATATTACAGGAACATTTTTATTTGCAGTTGAAATGTTTATTTTGAAAAGATTGTATTAGAGCTAAAAGAACTTCATTGTCATAGTTTACTATGTTACCTCGACCTTGCAAAGTACTCCTGTTTTCTCTCTCATTAAAAGATGATGTATTTTTCTGTAAGTCTACCTTGAAAAAGCTAATCATTGAGAATTTCTTATTTCACTTCCTATGAGAAAATTTTTACATGAGAATATCAGGAGCAGGGAACCAAAGCAAAGGAAGGTGATGTTGTTGGAGAATGTTTCATATCTGCCAAATTTCTTAGCTCCCCTTTGGACAGAAATGGAAAAATACTATCAAATTAAGGCCTTTCAGATGCCCTTTTTAGACTCCATTAAGTCATGCCATTTAAATATTTTGTTTTAATTCTAGGGATCCCTCAGTGTAGTGCTGTAAGTATGGAACCCCCATACTATTTTACTACTGGATTTAAGGACAACAAAGGAGTATTAACGTAAGAATTACTTGACTCATCATTCATTAAAAATCCCTAAAATTTAATAGCCCTAACATTGATTCTCAGTTACAGACAATGATTTAAAGAGTTTTTCACCATCTGCCAGCAAATACATAATAATGTGTGATTGGTAACATAAGGCGATTTTCTTTGTTATCTAATAAAATAATATTCACCTGTAACTACAACCTCTAATGAGGATCAATAGAAAATACCAGATGTTACAAGATTCAGTCTTGAAAATTAAATATTGTCATTCTTTGCAAAGTTATAATTAAATGTTTGCAAAATTATAACAGATAAATTTGTAATTTGATGAAGAGATCAAAATTATGTTTTATAAGCCCCAAATGTTTACAATACAATCAAGACATTTGTAAATGGCACCTATGTTTAAATTTGAACATTGAATTTTAGTGAAAGGATAAAAAAGGCCAAACTACCATAATAATTACAAAAAATTTCATTTTATTAATAATTTATATACAAATAAATTAGTTTAAAAGGATTATGATACATTTGTACACAAATTTAAATCCTATAAGCTTTTAATATCATCAAAAGTAACTAATCAGATTAATTTTCACAGATCAGCTCCTCAATTTCATCTTCACTATCAGAATCTTCATAAAATGAAATTGTGGCTTGAATTGGAAAATTTTTCAGAAGAGCTTCTGCTTCTTGATATAAGTAATCATAACACTTTGATTTTGGCCAAAATAGTCTGAAAGAAGCAGACAACATAATATGCTTTATTTTTTCACATTCAGAATCCTTATACTCGTGAAATCTTCAAATTTCAAGAGCTCCATATATTTAACAATTGATTTATGCATTTAGACACAGCCTTAAGATAGAGAGTTTAAAAATGGTACTATCACATGGAATCTACTTGTCAAAGTATCAATAACTGGTTGATTATTTTAAATCTTTATCCAAGCTGTAATCAAATTCACACTAAACCCTGTGTAAACATAAGAGCATCATTAGCTTACTTCAGGTGTTATGGATATATTTATTCTTACAAAATACAGAAGAAAGTTTGTGTTCCAATTTCCAAATTCCTTTGGGAAAAAAACTGAGTCCCACCACAACATTAAAAATTTTGATGATAGCCAACTTTATAAAGACGACAATATATTATACACCTTACACAAAGGCAGCAATCACTCCGCTTAAAACTCACAGACTTAGCTCTTAGTTACAGATGTAGCCAAGGTAAGTTTAGAAAAGTACAAAAAGCAATCTTCTTAAAAGTTTGTCTATGCACTCACAACTTGAGGTATAGAAAGGCTACCTCTGACCCTAACTTTGATCTCATCTCCCTTCTCTTTCCCTGTCCAACTAAATTTGGAAACACCATATTGAGATATTGAGAATGATACTGGTTTTATACAAATAATTTACACATAAACATGATTACCTTAGAATTTCAAATCTCTGACAAATATTAATCTTGCCATCTGGTCTTCTATTATTTTTCATCCAAGGAAAAGAAAAGAGGAGGGATAAGGCTGAGTCACCAACTACAGTGCTGTCATTTTAGTGTAAATAGCCCTGTGTACCCATATAATAGAGTGATTCTAACAAAGAGAAAGTACATTATGTTCAGTATATTCCATTTTAAAAGGCAAAAATTTAGGCAATGTATTTTATGTTTTTAGCAAAATGGTAAAAAAAAAATAGTTTATAATTTTGGTGTCTAAATAAGTAACCATCAATAATGCATCCAATATTTTAGTGATCTCTTATGCCAGACATAATTCACAATTCAAAGATGAATAAATCATGTTTCCTACCCTCAAGAAGTTGACAACTGAATAAAAAGAACCAGAAACACACAGTACTACTCAAAATAGAAATTAATAAAAATAAAACTTAAGAGAAGTACAAATATAGTGTTAGAGTAATTCAGAAAAGAAAGAAATTGCTTATATAGGAAACTATTTTTTAATGTGTAACTGGAACTGCCAAACCCAAAGCATGTTGTTTAATTACTATCACACTTCACCCCAGAATTTCTCACTGATCATTTTCTTCAGTGGACTCCATACTTTCCTGAATTCCCCCTGTTCTGAGTGATTCTTCTCAGACTCCTTTGTGGACCTCTCTTTCTCTGTATACAAGTTAGATGTTGGTCTTCCCCCACGGTTTTATCAAGAGTGATCATCTCTCCCTTCTAACTCCCCAGGAAGACCTGACCCACCACCATGATTTCCCTAACTGTTCACTTACCAAAAGCTCCCAAGCCTGTATTTCCACTTAAGACCTTGACTATGGGCCCCTGATCTATATATGCAGCTATCTAATGGACATCTCTGCTTGGATGCTCCACAGGCACCTTAAATACCAGAAATGGAAAATTGGACTCACCATCTCGCTCCTCAAATCTGTTTGAAGCCCTAATTTCCATTCTGTTAGTACAGCATTCACCTGGTCATCAGCCAAAAACTTGAGAGCCGTTCTGTCTTTTTACCTCTTCTTCATGGACCATATCCAATACATTATAAGCCTAATCTATTTTATCACCTAAATATTCCCCAAATTCACCCCGTCCTATCCCCACTTCCAATGCCTTAGAACAGCCCCTTATCATTCTTGCCTAAATAATGGCAATAACTTCCAATTTCACTTTTGGTGTTCTAACTAAGCCTATATACCATTTCCTTAGTGATTTTTCTGAAACGTAAATCTGATCACACACCACTCTTCTAGTTAAATCCTTTGAGTAACTCCCAATACCACCTACAGAATAAAGTCCATGGGTTCCCAGCTTCACATACAGAATCAGGACAAAACTCTGTACCAAGGTGTACAAGATCTTGCCTCTGGCTTCCCTGCTGGAATTGCCACAGCTTCACACATTCAAATTTCCAATCCTTGATGCTGGCAGAAGGAGACATGCTGTTCCATGACCCTGTATCTCTTTTCCTATGCTATTTCTTCTGACCCCACCTCTCCCACCTACCATCCATCTGGCTAACTTCAAGACTCAGCCAGGTATCCACAACCTATGATACACACTTCCCTGACCCTTCCTCACTCCCTCTGGCAGAGTTAGGCACTTCATGCCTTGTACATACTTGTAACAGTGACCAGACGAAGCTCTATTACACCTGCCACAGGGTTGTGATTCTTTTTTTCCTGTGTCCTTCACCAGCGCTAACACAGGGCAGGAAATCAATCAACATGTATTGACTACTATGTGCTATTTATAAACACATATGCATTTCACAAACATCATATAGCTCTTTATCTAACAGCTCTCTGAAGCAGGAAAACTGCAAAATTAACCTTTCACCTGAATAAAAGCTACAAAGAATCTTACAGAAAGGTGGACTCCCTGTGGCTAGGAACAGTAAACTAGCTCCTCATTGTTAGGTCAAATAACTTTGATCCCTTTTTATGATCCTTAGTAATGTTTGGGATTTTCATCACATTTCCGTTTTCTCTTACATGTCAAATTCGATTTGTTTGATTTGTTGTAAAACTACAACTGTGAACACCATTGTTCCTTCTGGTTTGCAAGAGAATAAGAATATACATGCTCTGCCTGGCGTGAAGTCGATTTCATTCGGACTTTTGGCATTTAAAAAAAAAACACAAATAACAAAAACCTGTTTCGCAGGGACAAGACGTCACCGTTCCACTTTTACTATACCATCCACTTTCCTTCTTCATAATATATTCTGTAAGCGTTTACGGAGTGTGCACTAACTAACAGTTCTTTTAGGTGAGAGCGTGGGCTCCTATGTTTTTCACTTCGACGAGTAAAGGACCCCTGGACTGGGGAGATAAAGCAACCTTGAGATAGATTTTTCCAAGAGAGAGAAACTGCAGGACTAGCCGCTGAGCTGGGCTGTGTGATGCCGCCGGCTCTCCCCTGGGGCTGGAGAAGCAGGAGACCTTCGGTGAGGCCTGTCACTCACCTGACTGGGTGTCTGTATCGGCAAAGCTTTCCTGAGGCTTCGATCATTCCGGGGCCACCGGGCATCTAGGGACGTAAGGAGATGAATCGTAGTTATCACTTACCTTCTAGAAACTGGGAACTGGAAATGCGCGCGACCGAGCGTCCCTCGAGCCCGCAGGGAATGTGACCCCTGGGCTCTCAGCAGCCTCGCTCAAGGTCCGATCCGTGTGTACCAATTGCTCTGGAGGACACACTCGCCGCATCAGTACCGACAGGGCCACCGGCAGGAGCGATCTTAAGCGAAGGGCAGGCCGGGCGCGTGTCTCCCTCGGGCCCGGCGTCCCCAACCCCGGTCGGGCATCTGCGCCCCTCGGAGGCGCGGCCCGCCACGCGCGGCTCACTCACCGCCTCCGCGGCGCGGTGCGGCGCCTCCTCCTCCTTCTCCGCTCCGGCGTCAACCCGTGGTCTCCAGAAGCCTGCGGATCTGCGGGGTGGGGAGCACAAGGCGCGCGGAGGAGACGTGAGCCCACACCCGCGAGAACCGACCGCAGCCGAGCGCGGGCCTGGGGTCTGTGGGGGGCGGAGAGCGGAGG